CACACCCCTTTAACAGTGATCAAAATACAACATTTGCTGAGAGGGTTCCCAGATCCTTCACTAGGATTTGTTACTCCCGAGGGGGAAAGCAACCAGCCAGTAGGTTGACTTCCCTGCCTTCCAGACTTGCCCTATTTCTAGGGAGCCTAGAAAGCCTGGGGACTTTGGAGATGTATTAAAAACACTAACGCGCACAGTTACACTCAGCACCAAAAGCTAAATGCCCTTCCAGAACAGTGCACCTTCATTAGCTGGTCTGCATCAACACTTTACTTTCACTGATTAAAAGTTATCTTTAAACAACAAAAAAAAATCCCCGCAGATGCATACTGAAGTGTGATGCCCTTTTCAGAGCTCATTAGCATTTGAATGCACAAGAGCTTGCTTAATCACTTTAAAGCTATACCTTCAATTCTTCAATGCTAGCAAGGTTATTGTTGATCATTCTGTCCTTCAGCAAAGTAATGGGATCACTTTTACTTCTCACTTCTTGAATTTCTTCTCTAGTACGATAGCTATTAGAAAAACAAGCAAAACCATGAACATCAGTCAGTGGTATCCTTGAACAGAGGTGAGGTCTTGGACACAGCTCACCTTTTTAAAAAAAAAAAAAAAAAGTGACCAAAACATTTGTCAAAAATTGTTATGAATGCAATGAAACCACAGCACTATTAATCAAAGAACGAAGGCACAGCTACATCTAGAGCACTTCTGCGATCTCAGAATGGAGACAGAGCTAAAGTAGACCGAGGCTTGAATAGGAAAGGCAAGGAAGAAGCAGCAGTCCCAGCCTGAGACAGTTACCATGGGAGTCTGTATTCCCCACTTTCTATCTATCTTCCATAGGAAAAAAGCAATTGGGGCTAGATGACTTCCTGTGTACTGTTAGGTTGGGTCACAACATATCCACTGTCTGAAGGCTTAGGGAGGGATGTGTTTAATCAACTCAAAGTTTTCAATCTACAACCTTCCAGTGAAACTTTGGGATATACCTCTTTCATGTATATCAATTCAGATTTGTCAGACAGCACAATACCCAAGTCTTATCTACGCCTACATACTTGTATTTTTAAGACGTGTTCCGTTTGACTGGACATTCCAAACTGTTCTTACACTTTTAGCTAACAGGATTTCACGTAATCTAGAAGTCCTAGAAAACCACATTGTTTTCCAGTCAAAGCTTACTTAGGAGAACATAGCACCAGTAAAGTTTTTTCCTCACATAAAGTCACATTCAGTGCAGAATCATTAACCAAAAGTATAGAAGTTCAGCTGACTTAGTGCTTGCTTTAAAACTATACTTGATAGTACTGTAAGTAAAATAAGCATGCCACACTGTCACTGATTATCTACCGAGCAATGAGATTGAGATGAGTGATCAAATTGATCATAGGGATTTCATCATAACCTTTATACACTTCACAATTGATTTAAGCATCAAATCCATGACCTGTTTTTTCGTAATTCTGATCGTCAATACTTGGCTTCACAGTGAATGCTGTGGAAGTATTTAAGCAGTACCTGATTCCAGGATCACTCATACTGTGGCCATGATAACGATATGTCTGTAACTCCATCAGAATAGGACCCTTAAAAAGATAGAGAGTATTACCACTCTGAGTAACCAATTTGTTGTTACAGCAGGAAGTATTTGCTATTAGTGAATCCCACTGATGATGAATGATATTAATTCAAAGCGCTTTCATTTATGTAATGTTATCACAGCTAGCAAAAACAAAAAAGAATTTTAACTCTTTTCAAATGAAAGTATATGTATGTATGTTCTCTGTTTAGCGTTATCATACTCTTACTGTGTTGTATCAAACAATATCTTCTCTTACAGTGTCATTCCACTGTTACTCAAATACTTTAAATTGACTGTTCTTTCACTGCACAGAACCTTATTCTTCTATCAATTTTATTCTTTTTATGCTGTGCATTCGCAGCACAAACAGTATTTCACCAGATATTAAACAACATCTTCAGAAGCAATGCATCATACTTCAATGACAAACACACACAAATGCTGGAAGTCTTGATATCTTGTCTATTTTTTATGCTATTTTAGGTATGTCAAAACACACACACACACAACTATGCAATCTTGTGTTCATGCATCCATTCTTCCAAAGTCTTTTCACTTCACTTTCTCTTTGCTATAAAAATAGGATAATTACTTTCCTTGTTGCTCCTCCCAAATTAATCTCTTCACAGGGAAGACAATTGCCTAACAGTCAAAACCTTTCACAATGAAATTTAACTGGGGGAGAAAGCAGAAGACAACTGGATATCAGGGTTTTGATTTAAAAATAAAAACAAAACAAAAAAATTTCATTAATACCAACTGTTTGTTAATAAATTCTAACAAAATTAAAGAACCACTCAAGTACTTGCAGGTGCAGTACTGGGGAAAAAGAAGAAATAAGCTCAAATACAGTTTCAATAGACTGCAGAGAATGGGCTAGATGGAATTTTTGTATATAGCAATAACCTTTCTAAAAATTTTATCTATGGTAAAGGAATGATGAGGATTACTGACTTACTTTTCCAGCTCTACAGTACTCAGTTGCAAACTTTGCTGCTTCCCGAACACTGAGAACATCCATGCCATCCACCTGATAAACAGAAACTACAAGTTGATGCAAAAAGATACCAAGAAACAAACTTTAAATGTTAATTTAAAGTGCGCAAGTGCAACAGGAATTAATTTTCAAATTCTTCTTTGTAAAATATATCTATAAAATGTGTATAATAGTATTACACATCATATATGTAATAGTAAAGATAATATTGTTTTTATGTATATCTACAGACATAATGTGTTTTTCATATACATAGCGCCCCCCCCCCCACCCCCCAAACACACACATACTGATCTCACGCTCTCTCAGAAGAGCTACAACTGCACTTGCCCTGAGGCCTGGAATGAAGTCTCCTCGTTTGTAGTAGTCAGTACTGGCTGCAGCTCTTTCAACTGAAGTTCCCATTCCATACCGATTATTCTCACAGATAAATACACAAGGCAACTTCCACAAGGCTGCCATATTGTATGTTTCAAATATCTGGCCCTGAATGAAAAGGAGCAAGTTAAAATTTAGAGATAGCTCAAACTTTAAGCATTAGGCTCTACTGAAAATCTTTCAGTTGCAAAGGTCTAGCTGGTAAACCTGTAGTACTGAAAGTGATCTGAAACTAGCCATTTCCTTCAGCTGAGCAGGAATAAGAGAAGAAAGTTATACAATCCAACATAAAAGTTATCTCAACATACTTGTATTCTGTAATATTTTATAGGATTTAATTTTTAACCTCATTCAGTATCTGTGTTAGGATAGCACAAAACCTTAAGATTTTGATTGAAATATTTTAGGAAGCCATGAAAACCCGCTCAGCCACACTGCACCAGCCTTGCTGCTTTAAGTGTAATTCTTGGTTCTCCGAAAGTTTCAATCTCCCTGTGTTTAGAAAACGGAAAATTACACAGCAGTAGGGAACAGTATACTGTAAACCACCAATTTCTCATCTGGCTTGATTAATTTTTGTACCCACAATGCGCAGATAACCATTCAAACGTCAAAAATAAGTGGTTGTGCGAGATGCTCTGTCCTGCCCTTTGCCTTCACAAACCTAAGTTAATGC